AACGGGTCGTAGGGGGGGCGCGCCGCCGGCGGGGCGGGGGCGGCGGGCCGCGCTGCCCAACGCCGGGAGCGCCGAGCCCCGCGAGGCACAGCCGTGCCCGAGCCCGGCCCCCGAGCGCAAAGGGCGCTGCAAATCCCGAGCAGTTCTGTTGCTATCGGGAATACAGGTTTGGGGAGCAGTTCTCAAGCCTTGACAGGCAGGGGGAGTTTGTTTAGGGCTCGTTGCGAAAGGAACAAAATCCTTTTGAAAGGGCGCTAAGTAGTTTCACGCCAAAGTGGCAGATTTGGTGAAGAATGTGGGGTGGGACAAAGCCCCGCCGTTCCCAGAGCGGCCCGAGTGCTTCGGGAAACCGCACCGGGAATTCAAGCACAGAGAAAAGCGGGAGAGCCCAAATCTCTCCGCTTCCTTCTCCCTCCCGGCCCCCGAGAAGCAAAGAGAAGCAGAATCATTACAAAAAAGAGAGCGAGGCTTAGCCGAAATGCAGCCACAACCAGCAGCCTGGAGTTGACTTTCCAAAACGGAGGAAGCTTGCTCAGAGCCTGGCATTGTGTTTCGCAACCTAGGAAACCCTAAGAAGCTGGTACTTCCCCCCTCCCTTCTCTTTTCTCCCAACTGGTTTGTAAATATTAACAAGGTTGTGAGCTATTCTCTCACACAGAGTAGATTTTTTTTTTCTTTTTTTCTTTTTTTATCCTTGGAAAACTTCTTGGCTTCCCCCCACAGCGCCTCTCCCACTCCTCCCCTCTGCAAAGCTACACACCTGCTTGCAGCCACAAGGATTCAAAATCAATATTGTATTTGTCACTTTTCTCTCTCCTTTTCCTCTCTCAACAGCCCCGCTTGCCACTGAGGCGAATTGTGGATTTATGGAGGAAAATTAGCATAAATTATTACCAAATCTGTAAACGTGTGTGGTCTTGCTTGTGGGAAAGGGGGCTATTGCAAACCTTCCATGCAGAAAGGTGGTCCATGATGGGCTCCATGCAAGGGCTGAATGGCTATTGCACGAAATAGATTTCCATTGGGTTTGCACATTGATATAATTGACTTATGTGTATTTTATACAGTTTTCCCAACACTTCCCCTGAGCTCCTTATTTGAATTAGGCTTCAGAAAAACGTCTATTTGTTTTGGTTTTCTGCACAATGGATTTGGATTCACTTGCCCCTTCCCCTCCTCCCTAATGTTAGCGTTCAAAGTAAAAAGCAAATGCTACAAGTTACATTTAAATCCTATATTGCCCAGGTCTGTCATCTGTTGCGTGCTTAACACGAGGTGAAACTTTGGGTATCAATTACCGGGATGGCTTTGCCTGCCCTGCCCCTCCGCTCACACATTCCTTTGCACTGGAAAAAAAACCCCTCGGGTGCCTTACAGCCATACCTCGTTCGCACTCGGGGCAGCAAGTGACAACGGAAGTCGACTTTAACTTTACAGCTTGCGGGTTCCCATTTGCGCCAGCGGTTGGTTCTTTTCTTTCTTCGAAAAGAAGAGGTACCGGCAAAAAGAGGAAGAAGAGAATTTGTCAGCCTGTGAATTTTATTTACTCCCGTGCTGTTTCTGAGCTCTCTTTTTGACAGGCATCTCAGGAGCGAAGTTGGGCTCAGAGACAAAACCCGAACCGAGGGGTGTCAGAAGTTGGGGGTGGTGGGGGGTGGTGTCGGAGGTGCCCATTAAACCCACATATTTGGGGGCTCTCAATACAAAACCTGAAGCCGCCTTCCCGGTGTCCTAGGGGACGCTGGGAGGAATCTGTCCTCATTTCAGAGTATTGTCTTTCCTACCCCCTAACAAAGGTCCATCGGCTCATCACCTCTTACTCCCCAGGAAAAGTTGGGGGCTGCCTTCCTGCCCCGCCCGGCTGGCACCAAGCACCTCGGGGCCGGTTGACGGAGCCAGGCGGCTCCCGGGCTCTGAACCGCACCCGCACCCCCGGGCCCCTCTCTGCAAGGGGGGTGACATGCAGCAGGTCTCCCCCCAAAAGGGCTCGTTAGCTCGGCAGCGCGGGGCCGAGGTCGGCTTCTCGGATTCCTAGAAACACAATGATTTGCCCATTATTCTCTAAACGACACCCTGCCCCGAGAGAGAGGGATTAGAGGGGACCGAGGGCGGCCGGGTTGGAACGAGGGGAACGCAGTTTAACACACACGACGTCGGAGCTAGTCGCAGCGTGAAATGCGTTTTCGAGCCGCTGGCCGGTTTCGGGGAGCCCTGCCTGATGGGGACTGTCCCTCCGAGAGGCTCTGAGGCGCCCGCGGAGCCCCTCTCGCAGCAGCCCGCTGCTCAGAGAGCCGGCGCGGCGCTCCCTCCCCCACCCCAGCGATTTTTGCTGAATTAAGAAGGTGACATTATTCTTTTCTTCAAGTACTTCTGTTAATATTGAAAAACGTGCGCTTGCATTTCAAGCGGGCGCGCTCAGCCTCGCCAGCCATTTCAATATTAATGAAATTGTTTAATCGCCTAAATTCATCGTGTTTAAGTTACGTTTTGGTGAGTTATTGACCGACTCCGAAAATATTGTTAATGGAGTGGATGTGTATTCACCACAAAGGCTCTTCCTCCCAGGGCTTGCAGCTCCCGAGACAATCTGTTATTCTGGCTCTAGGGTGGCAGGATGCCCCGCAGCCTCGGGAATACACATCCTACAAACTTCCCCCCTGTGCCGGGGCAAGCCTGGGACCTTCCGGGCCTGATCCCCCCCCAGGACAGGAGACAGGCCGTGGGGCTGCTCCCCCAAAGCTGGGGGGTGGCTGCGGTTCCAGGATCGGGCCTTGGTTCCCGGGGAGGAGGCAGTACAGCGGAGCAGAGAGCCGCAGCTCGGGTGTTACACGTCCTGCCTGCTCCTGCACGCCCAAGTGCGCACCGAGAAGCACACAGGCACACGGACAGCCTGAGACACACCACGGAAATCCCGCAGAAGGCGGCGGGTTGACGATGCTTAGCACGGTAACCGGTGACACGGACCGGTTCCTCCAGACCAGCCCTGCGGGACCCCCCCGCCCCGCGGCCCGCCGGGAGCAGGACAGCGGCGCGGAGGGCAGCTCGGCACCGAGCACACCGGGGCTGTGCCCCGGCCGCGGAGCAGGAGCCCGGCCGCTGCGGTGGGGGGGAACTTCCCGGGGAGGCCACGGAGGAACCCCGGTCTTTTCTCCCCTCGAAAGAACCTTCGCTCGGGGAGAGCGGATTTGGCAAAGAGAAAGTCTCTCGTTACAGGGAAAAAGGCTCGCCTTAAGTTAGCCAACAATACAAATCAGATAACAATGCAGAACAAACAGAATACCACAGCCAAGCAATTTCCATGTCAAACATCCCACTGCTCACTACCTCCATTTGTAAGTGTGAATTGCAGACTAAGCTTCCTGCAAAGTCCACAGAGAGGTTAGTGCATACCTTCCCCCCCACCCCCAGCCACCGGGTACCATCGCACTGCAATTCCGCCGGCGGAGCCTTTTCACCCCTCGCCTTGTCTTCAAATGGAAATGATTCCCATTGGCCCAAGGTGTCCATGTAAATAGGTGTAAATGAAACCAGATTATGCCTTTCTCTCCAGCCCCCTCCTCCCCGCTCCCCTCCCCCTGCTCCCAAGGCGATTGTCATATGATAGCAAAGAAGTGGCACATTAATGAAGCGCCTCTACAGGGGTCTTTTCTGCTCATGTCACCACATAAAACTATCAGATGGTTAGAGGAAGGACATGGAGGCAACTACTTAGCTCATCGCGGCTGCAGAGAAGCAAACAAGCCTCTGCTACAGTCCGGCTGCCGGTGGTGTAAAAGAAGCTGATTCAGCCCGCGGAGGAGAAGGGAGGGGTGTACCAGAGGATTCCCAAAACCAAGCCAGCTCGCTGCCTCCTCGGGACTAAAGCGGAGCAGCGTGGCCGGGAAAGGAGCGAGAGGCACGCCGGAGGAGCGGGGTGGGAAAGAGCCCGGACTCCCAGCTGCGTCCCGGATGCGGACTGTCAACTTCCAGCAACTTTAAGGTGGGCACATGCGGGGCATGCATGGAGTGGGGTTGGAGACGAGGGGAGGGGATGGGGTGGGAGGGGATGGGAGGGGGTCCCCTTCTCCTCCTCGCCGAGACCAGAAGGCAGAGCTACCACCGGAGTAACTTTCCGGGCGCGGGCTGCTGCGGGGAGGCCAGGCTGAGCGAGGCCGGAGCTGGGAGAAAGGCACATCGCTTTTTCCCCGCCGGCGGCGCAGAGCCCCGGGTTGGCTTCCCCTGCCCCCACCCCGCCCCCCGAGGGCTGAGGTCCGCCGTGCCCCTTCCCCGCGCCCTTCTTTCCCTTGTCCGGCCCCGCACCCACCCGCTGCCCCGGCCGGGTGTCGGTGCAAATCCTCTCGGACTCACCCCTCTTCCCCCACCCCCGACCCCCTCCTTGTCGCTGCCCTTCTGCAGATCTCCGCGGGTCCCCTAGCGAAGATGCCTCGCCCGGGCAGAAACACTTACAGTGATCAGAAGCCTCCCTACTCCTACATCTCGCTGACCGCCATGGCGATCCAGAGCTCCCCGGAGAAGATGCTGCCGCTGAGCGAGATCTACAAGTTCATCATGGACCGCTTCCCCTACTACCGGGAGAACACGCAGCGCTGGCAGAACTCCCTCCGCCACCACCTCTCCT